TTTACTTCGTCTTGTCTTGTGATGAATCACAATGTCATATAACAATAAGAGTGAGCGCATGAATTGGTCATTGTGTGTTTTTATTCTACGTGTATCTAGAATACTTCAGCTTCCGTAATGTTTAATTTCACCAAAACCTACCTTATAGATTATGCCATCTAGCCGTGGTATTCTTTCCTTCCCATTTAATAACGACTCCTGGCGTTGCTACTACTGCTGCTGCTGCTGCTGTAGCTACTGGTGTTGCTGTTTGGGCCGCTATTGTCCCTGGTGCTGCTGCTATTGGATCGTTTCTACTCTGATTGCCCAGTGCACATTGCAGCCAATATGAAAAAAATACAAATTAGTGTTCGCCTCAAGTAAATATGCATAAATAAATAAGTCCCTCCCCTTACCCCTCTCTCTCTCCTCCTATCTCTACCCCCCCTCTCTCTATCTCTTTCTCTTTCTCCTTTACAACTATTTGAATAACATTCAAATTAACGCGTTTAGAAAGCTGTTTTCAAAAGCAGCGCTCCCAACCTGCCCGGCTGATATCAAACGACAACATTAATTTCATCGTGTTACCCAGACTGCCATGTGTTTTATGTTGTCACTTGTGTATCTGACCGATTTTACCACAACGCGGGGTGGTTTTTATAGTGATGTTTGTTCTAAAATGTGGGACGACAAGAGCTGGGTTGAATTTATTGACACGTGACAGCTCATGTTTTAACAGGACATCACACCCAACAGAGCTAATGGAGCAGAACAAATGCCAACGAACACGATACTTTCTCGACCTTTGTTCTAGTCGGTTACATCGGCAAAGCTTCTTGCAACTCCAAACCCCTTTTAAAACTTCTCTCTCTTAGTCTCTGTCTGTCTGTCTGTCTGTCTGTCTGTCTGTCTGTCTGTCTGTCTGTCTGTCTGTATTTTTCTCCCTCTCTCTCACTCTCTCTCCCTGTGTCTCTGCATGTCTGTCTCTCCTCTCTCTCTTTCTCTTTCTCTTTCTCTTTCTCTTTTCGTCCCTCTCTCCTCTCTCTATTTGTTTGTCTCCTCTCTCTCTCTTTTCTTGCTTTCTTTCTCCATCTCTCAATCTCTCTCTCTCTCTCTCTCTCTCTCTCTCTCTCTCTCTCTCCCCCCCCTGCTCTTTCCCTTCTGTCTTTCTGTCTACAATGCTGACCCACCGATCTGCTCACAACTGCACCCCTTCTTTCTCCGTTCTCGAAAATAAAAAGTACAACTCCCCGACCTTTTCACATCTCAAAATCACTGTGATGTTTCGGTTCGATTAAAAAATGCCCCTCTTTCAATATGTTTGACCCCCTTCCATAAGAAGAAAAGGGTTAAGGTGTAGATATGATAATTTAAAATCAATAAGAATCAGAAAGTTATTCAGAGGATTTAGCATCTCCAAAAGAAGGTAGCAGAAACTACGGGGGTGACATATATAAAAACAACGAGGGCGAGGGCCGTTACGTAAGACGTGATGTTAATGTCTAACTTTTTATCTAAATTGAACGATAGGGCGGTGCTTACTTAACTTACTATTGAGGTCACCGTGCGAATCGAAATATTGGACAAAAGAAAGTCGGTTATAAGAGCTCAGTTTTGGACACCCGTACCTAATTTGATTATATTAGTCCCTGTTTTGTCTCTCGGTGTGCAGAGTGCATTCAAGACGTTTGTGTGACGTTTAATAGATTTATAACAGTGCCTACTTTCTGATTCCACCATCTTCCAAATGTTGTACATGGTTCTTAAACGCATTATAGTCGTTTTCTTATGTTTATGAATAGAGCAGCTGTGACACTGTTCTGGACGCTTTGATCAATTGTGAGTGAAACATTTTTGAAAATGCCTTTAAGATTGAAAGTAGTCTTTGACAGAATTCGGTTGGTATTCTGCTTGACCTTTTCACTGTCTTGTTGACGTATTCTCTCACTTGTGTTATCAGAAACTGGTTCACTGACATAAATAATTTAGTACTGGTGTAGAGAGGATTAGAAGATGTAATTGCAACTGATGCAGCTAATTAGTTTCAATTTTAAAGAGGGAAATCGCGACCTCAGTGCTTTCTTGTACATTGTCGTATCTCCATTTTTAATAACAATGAGAGCAATTCATGATAAAGGGTGAGCTGAAGAAGAAGTCACATTTTCACTGTTTAAAAAATGGAGATACGACAAGAAAGCACTGTGGTCGCGAAATGTATTAATGCTTTGTTTAGATCTCTTTAACCGGCGTCTGTGGTGTAGAGATTTTGGCTCTTTGCTGTTGCACGCAGGACAAACCCGAGTTCAATTCCCAAGTGGGGAGAATATTTATATCGAGTATCTCGGTCTTTCTGCTGGGATGCTGTTTATCTCTCATTCCGAGTTGGCCCTCTCAGGGCATGGTTGGAAGACCGCCTCCTAAATGGTCTGAATTATGTCAGCGGGGACGTAAAAACACTTACGTTAAATAATAATAATAATAATAATAC